TGTATGTCACGTCGGGTTTTTCCTATGCTGAACTTAGATTCAGTAGTATGGAGTTTTGTAACTTTTGTGGAGGATCTGCTGATGTCCCTACTTAGTGTCGTTATATTATCTCCTTGATCCTGATTGTGTCGCAGTCGCTTGTTATATTGCTATTGGGCTTAGCATTCTTTCATTGTTCAAGCAGACTGTTCTGGTTGCCAGTCGTCAAGAAGTTAGTTTATGTGAGGACTTTGTCAGTCACTTGTTTAAGTCAGTCGAGTCGTGAGACATAAGTGAACTACTTAGAACACTTACACGCATACACAAACTTACTTGTACATATTTGTAATATCTTATTAAATGCTAATGTACCAGACGGCACTTAAGAATTATAAATTGGATATGTGCTTTCAGCACAATAATATTGAACTCGAGAGATTGATTTTATTTGATTACTGTGATTAATTTAATTTAATTTAATTTGATAATATACCTCTAGACTTAATAATTTATTAAATTTTAATTTCTCTAGTTAGTAGCCTACCAGTTGTAATCCTGAAGCACTATTGAATAATACTGAATTCTAATGGATAATTGGACAAGGATACTGACTACTTGTTACGAAAACCCAGTAACAGGCTGGATGCTAGAAGGGCAGTCCTTTCTAGTATTCACTGGATGATCTCTAAGCTTTTAGAATCGCGTTTTTTGTAACATTCTCTAACACACATTCTCCATTAACTGCGTCAAAATCAATTTGTTTAATAAAATTTACAAATTAAAATTTACACAACCCAAAATCATTGAGATGCTTCCTTTGAGATAAACACACCAGCGCTAAAAGTTTGAAGCCGACCAAAAGGCGCATTCTTCTGTTTATCGTACAGCCGGAGACTGCTAACACTCTCCGCTGTACGACAAACTGGTTTTCTTGAATCCCTTCATAAAAGTTACCTTGGTTACCTTGCACTGCAGGGAGGCCTACCTGCCCTCCATACGACATCTTTATGTAAAATAAATTGTGCTCAGGATCCTCAAAATTACAAGTTCCACGATCTTGCTGGAGTTTATTTTGTGTACAGGTTAGTGCAGGTTTCTGGCAGCCGCGTCAGGCTAGTCCTGGCTTATTATTTTATTTTAATTTGCTGCATTTTGTTTACGTGTGTATGGCGGCCTCCACCATCAACAATAACAACAATAAGTCGCCTATACTACCACCAACAATAGCCACCACCAAAGTCAACAACAGCCTTTAACCCAAACCAGAAATAGGTGTCCCCATCAATAGCTTTTACCATCACTACCACCAACAGTCCAACAGCAACAACAGGAGATACCATTACCACCACCAGCCTCTATAATAACCAAGTATAGATTCCACCACTACCACCAACAACATCCTCCACCATAACCAACACCAACAGCTTCAGCAATTACCCCAAGAACGGCCTCCACCTCTAAGAGCAGCCTGCACCTCCACCGCCAACATCGACCACCTCTAACACGTCTCCACTATCTACGCCAACATCGTCCACCTCTAACACGTTTCCACTATCTACGCCAACATCGTCCACCTCTAACACGTTTCCACTATCTACGCCAACATCGTCCACCTCTAACACCGTTTCCACTATCTACGCCAACATCGTCCACCTCTAACACGTTCCACTATCTACGCCAACATCGTCCACCTCTAACACGTCTCCACTATCTACGCCAACATCGTCCACCTCTAACACGTCTCCACTATCTACGCCAACATCGTCCACCTCTAACACGTTTCCACTATCTACGCCAACATCGTCCACCTCTAACACGTTTCCACTAAATCTACGCCAACATCGTCCACCTCTAACACGTTTCCACTATCTACGCCAACATCGTCCACCTCTAACACGTTTTCCACTATCTACGCCAACATCGTCCACCTCTAACACGTCTCAACTATCTACGCCAACATCGTCCACCTCTAACAGTTTCCACTATCTACGCCAACATCGTCCACCTCTAACACGTCTCCACTATCTACGCAACATCGTCCACCTCTAACACGTTTCCACTATCTACGCCAACATCGTCCACCTCTAACACGTCTCCACTATCTACGCCAACATCGTCCACCTCTAACACGTTTCCACTATCTACGCCAACATCGTCCACCTCTAACACTCTCCACTATCTACGCCAACATCGTCCACCTCTAACACGTCTCCACTATCTACGCCAACATCGTCCACCTCAAACACGTCTCCACTATCTACGCCAACATCGTCCACCTCTAACACGTCTCCACTATCTACGCCAACATCGTCCACCTCTAACACATCTCCACTATATACGCCAACATCGTTCACCTCTAACATTGTCTCCACTATCTACGCCAACATCTTCCATCTCTAACATAGCATCCACCACCAACGCCAGTAACACCTCCACCTCTAACAACAGCATCCACCAACCATCGCCACTAACATCCTCCACTAACAAGAGCATCCACCACCAACGCCACTAACATTCTCCAACTCTAACAACAGCATCCACCACCAAGGCCACTAACATCCTCCAACACTATCAACAGCATCCACCACCAACGCCACTAACATCCTCCAACTCTAACAACAGCATCCACCACCAACGCCAGTAACATCCTCCACCACTAACAACAGCATCCACCACCAACGCCACTAACATCCTCCACTAACAAGAGCATCCACCACCAACGCCACTAACATTCTCCAACTCTAACAACAGCATCCACCACCAACGCCACTAACATTCTCCACTAACAAGAGCATCCACCACCAACGCAACTAACATTATCCACCATCAACGCCAACTAGAATAACTTCCATTACCACCTCGAACAGAGCGCCCTACATCACCACTCAATTTGCCCACCACCACCACCACACAACAATATCCAATTCCCAGATTGTATCCCACGAGGAAATACACCCAAACAGCATTACCAACATCGAGAAAAACAAGTTTCAACCAAACCAACAAGGCAGGGTGACACTCTGGACCTGCCTGACCTACCAGACCTGCCACTTCAGAGCTGAAGATTTTCAGGCCACATCTACCAGGGTCAATTAAGTGGGTGTGGTATAGCAAAACTGATTCAAATTCATTTATGAAGTGAGAATCTCGCAGCAGGATGAAGGGATGGGAGTTAATCCCGGGATGGGGTAATCCAGGGTAGGTGGGTGTTTAGAGAGGATGGGTGGATAGGTGAGTAGGCAGGGAGGTGGGTGGTTGTTTACGGAAGTCGGGATAGTGGGTAGGTTAGTGCGATGGTGGGCAGGTTGTTGGGTGACGTTATGGGAGGGCAGTAGAGTGGGCAGAGAGAGAGAATGAGTGGGTGGGTTTTCGGGAGTGGGGTGGGAGGGAGTGGGGTGAGAGAGCAAGTTAGAAAGCCAGGACTGTCTGGAAGAAGATATTTTATGAATTCATAATATTGACTGAAGCCTTAACCTCAGACAGTGTTTTAACCAAGGCAGTGCTGGAATCTCAGGTAGTGTTGGAACCCTGGCAGTTTAACCTGGACCTGGAGTTTACGTGGAGAGAGTTCCGGGGGTCAACGTCCCAGCGGCACGGTCTGTGACCAGGCCTCATGGTGGATCAGGGCCTGATCAACCAGGCTGTTACTGCTGGCTGCACGCAATCCAACGTACGAGCCACAGCCCGGCTGGTCAGATACCGACTTTAGGTGCTTGTCCAGTGCCTGCTTGAAGACAGCCAGGGGTCCATTGGTAATCCCCCTTATGTAGGCTGAGAGGCAGTTTGAACAGTCTTGGGCCCCTGACACTTATTGTGTTGTCTCTTAACGTGCTAGTGACACCCCTGCTTTTCATTGGGGGGATGTTGCATCGTCTGCCGAGTCTTTTGCTTTCGTAGTGAGTGATTTTCGTGTGCAAGTTAGGTACTAGTCTCTCTAGGATTTTCCAGGTGTATATAATCATGTATCTCTCCCGCCTGCGTTCCAGGGAGTACAGGTTCATGAGCTTCAAGCGCTCCCAGTAATTGAGGTCCTGGAACCTCAGACAGTGTTGGAACCCAGGCAGTGGTGGAACCTCAGACAGTGTTGGAACCCAGACAGTGCTGGGACCTCAGGCAGTGCTGGAACCCAGACAGTGTTGAAACCTCAGGCAGTGTTAGAACTTCAGGCAGTGTTGGAACCTAGACAGTGTTGGAACCCAGAAGCACCCCACAATGCGCAGCCAAACTGTACACACAGGTTCTCCCACTTCCCCTGCACACACACACACACACACACACACACACACACACACACTTCCTAGATTTACTTTCTCAATCTGCATTTCTACTTTCATGGGGCCAGGAAGGGAGAGATGGGTGGGGAGGGTGGTCGGTGGGTGGGGAGGGTGGTCGGTGAGTGGGGAGGATGGTCGGTGATGGGGGGGGTGGGTGGGGGGGAAGGGAGGTCGGTGGGGGGGGAGGTGCTGGGGGTGGGAGACGTCAGGAGTGAGGGTATATCAGGGCATTTTTAAGTTAATGCAAAAAGTTTCTTTTTTTAAACCTGCTTAACCAGGACACAGAGAGAGAGAGAGAGAAGAGGGGAGAGAGAGAAGAGAGAAGATAAAGTCCTGGGGAGAAACCCGAAGGGGGGGACTGAAGGAGAGGAGTCAGGGGGAAGAGAGAGGGAAAAAATGAGGAAATAAAGGGAGGGATTTTTGCAGAGGTTGCCCCTAGACGGACTAACTGAAGGTTAGACTACTCTGAGGAGGGGATAAAGGAACAAAATCTGAAAACCCTTTAAAAAGGAAAAAAGGCTGAGGAACATGATCCCGACGTACAAATACCAAAATTATAACAATAAGTAGGGCTGGAAGCTGACAAATAACATCATAGGAATGCTGGGAAAAAATTTTTAAGTTCATTTGAAAGGAGCTGAATAGGAATATGGAGCAAACCCATATTTAGTTTCAGGAGGGGGTTTAAAAGACCTAAAACCCCAGTGCGACCCTTGAAGGAAAATGGAAAAAAGGCGAAAACGACAAGTTTTTTAAAGCACATGGTGAAAGTGACACTTTTAAAATTGCGGACACAGGGACAGTCTAATGCGTGCAACACCGCTCGTAAACAAGTCACAAGCAAACACAACAGTACAAAAGAGACAAATACAAAAAAAGAAAAAGCAATTTTTCAAGCGTGTATTCCTTCACCACAATATGAAAAGAATCATACTGTGTACAGAAGAGAATAACAAGTTTGTAACTGTGCAAGTGGAGTCCGTAAGCACAGTGGACATTTCCAAGACGCGCAAGTCTACCACCCCACGGGGCTAAGACGTCACTTGGGTGCAGAATTCGAGGGCTACGTGATTGGCTGTTTTCGAATCATAATAGCATAGTAGTGGGGGAAACCCCGAACTGTCACACTCCCCGAATTACTATTCAAATGGTAAGAGACACGCCACAATGATGTTGACGCACCCCTCGAATACAAAGTAACATACTTACGCCGAAAATTAATAAAATGTGCAATTAACACAGAGTGGACTCAAGCCTCTGCAACCAAGTGTTTGTGTGGTGTTTTGGGGTGTGTGTGTGGTGTGTGTAGGGGTGTGTGGTGTGGTGTGTGTGTGTGTATGTTGGGATTGTGTATTGGTGTTGTGTGTGTGTGTGGTGGGTTTGTGTGTGTGGTGTGTGTATGTGTGTTTGTGTGTGTGTGATTGTGTTTTTGGGGTTTTGTGTGTGTGTGGGGTGGTTTTGGTTTTGTGGTGTGTGTGTGTGTGTGTTGTATGTTTTGTGTGTATGTGTGTGTGTGTGTGTTGTGTGTGTTGTGTGTGGGGGTGTGTGGGGTTGGTGTGGTGTGTTGTGTTTTGTGTGGTATGTGTTTGTGTTTTTTGTGGGTGTGTGTGTGTTTGGGGTGTGTGAGTGTGTGTGTGTTGTGTGTTGTGTGTGACTCACCCCAATTGTGGTTTCAGGGATCGAGAATCGCTCCCCGCCCCGCCTCTCAATGATCGCTACAGGTCCTCATCTCTTGCTTCCCGACTTTTTCATACATCGTCTTAAAGCTATTATGGTTCCGCCTCCACTACATCACTTCTAGGCTTTCCACTTCCTGACACTCTATGATGAACAAATACTTGCTAAAGTCCCTGTGACTCGTCTGAGCTTCAGCTTCCCTTTTACCCCTTGTTTTTTGTTTCCCCTCTAACTCCTTCTCTATCCACCTTATCAATTTTCCCCGCAGTATTTGTATTGGTCAACGGAGTACAACACACACACAACAAAACCCCAACACACAACACACACACACACACACACACACACATACACACCCACTTCTTCTCCTGTACATACACGGGGGTGCGGGGACTGACCCCCCGTCCTCACTCTCACTGTGATCTGTCCCCCCCCATTCCCCTCTCCCTGGTACCCCTGTCTCCCCCTCTCCCTGGGGCCTCTGTCTCCTCCCTTTTCCCGGGGACCTCTATCCCCCCTTTCCCTGGTGACCTCTATCTCTTCCCTCTCCCTGGGACCTCTATCTCCTCCCCCTCCTGGGGACCTCTGTCTCCTTCCTCTCCTGGTGACCTCACTCCCCCTCTTTCCCGGTGACCCGTCTCCCCCTCCCCTGGTGACCCTGCCCCCCTCTCCCCGGGGGACCTCTGTCTCCTCCCTCTCCCCGGTGACCCCTGTCCCCCTTCCCCCTCCCTGGCGACCTCTATCTCTCCCTCCCCTGGTGACCCTGTTTCCTCCCTCTCCCGGTGACCTCTATCTCCTCCCTCTCCCGGGGCCCCTGTCTCCCCCTCTCCCTGGTGACCTCTGTCTCCTCCCCTCCCGGTGACCTCTTCTCCTCCCTCTCCCTGGGGGGAGAGCGTCCAGCTTCCCGACCAAAACCAGCAGAAAACTTGACAAAGATTTCCAGGGTTTCCCCTTCCCCTCAGGTAAACCCCCCTACCATCTTTTCCCCATACCTCACTACCCCCCCGTACCCTTTACCCCCCGTACCCCTCACCCCAGTACCCCCCCTTTCCCCAGTACCTCACCCACCCCAGTGCCTCACCACCCCCTTTCCCACTACCTCATATTCCTCTACCCCAGCACCCCTCTAAAACCCAAATACCCCCCCTACCCCGTATCCCCTAACCCATACCCCCCTCTACCCAGTACCTCCTACCCCCAGTACCTCCCAACCCAGTACCCTCACTATCCCATCTCCTCTACCCCATACCCCCCTACCCCAGGCCCAAACCCCTTTTTCCCCAGGACCCCAAACCCCAGGGCCCCTCTACCTCATCCAAACACCCCAGTACCCACTACCAATACCCTCTACCCAAGTACCCCACTGCCCCTTTCCCCCCTACCTCACTACCCCGTACCCTTCTACCCAGTACCCCCTACCCCATACCCCTCTACCCCCTACTTTCCCCT